TATATGTGTGTGTGTGTGTGTGTATGCATGTATATATATATATATATGAGAATATATGTATATAATGTAAACATATATTCTCTTTATATTTCTCATATTGTGTGCATCTTGAATACAGCCATAGCACAAGTGGCTCTGAAGTAAATACAATGTTGCTGATTGTTGCTAATGCTGCAAAGCTTCACAGCTGACCTGGGAGTGGCAAGGTGAATTTCAGGAGAATGATGTTGTTTCACTGTGTATTTTTCAATGAACTGAAGATATATTCTGTATTTTTTTAACCACATAGCCACCAACAAATGATTGGTAATGCCTCCATGTATTTTCCTGACTGAATGCTTATGGTCTCTAAAATTTCAGCATTAGAATGAAAGATTATCATTAAGATATACTTTTAAGAAAGCCCTACTTTCTCCGATTTGGGAAGGGAGGGGAAACATCAACACATTAACACCTCTAGAGTTAAGCACAGCTGAAGCTCACCAGGTTGAGCAGTTGTGTGGCCCAAAGTCTCTTTTGAAGAGTATAAACAAATCCCAAAGGAGAGCTGGATTTGATTGCAAAGGATAAAATAATGTTGAGATACTTCCTGCCATCCCCAGATGTGTGTGTGTGTGTGTGTGTGTGTGTGTGTGCACATGCGTGTGTTGTTTGTGGCGGGGGAGGGGGTGAAGAAGGTGACAAAGGGAGTGTGACAGACCTGAAAGCTGCATAGACTGAACGACAGGGTGGAATGCCAGAAGTCAGTCAGGCTTACGGAGAAGTATTTGGTTCTATGGCTTTCCTAAAAAAAAAAGACTTAGAACGTTGTCGTCTTTAAAATTACAATTTGCCCTGTATTCTGTACTCAGCAAGATATAAAACAACTAAAAGGCTGTGTTAATATTTCTTAATCACTTGAACACACCTCGCCTATTAGGACTCCAATCTTACATAATTTCACTTAGCATGTTGTTGGTACTTGAGAAATATTTGCTGAATGAGTGAATCCTTTCATGATTCTGCTCCCCTCCCCCATACTTTAGAAGTGACTCAGTCCTAGAATGGGAGCTTGGGATTTAATGCTT